ACACACCACCAGTCAAAATCCACATTTTTGAGCATGATAACTGCTAGTCTGTGCTAGAACATCAAATACTCTACTCACGCCCATTTTCCACTGTGATTATTCAGCTAATCTATGCCACACTGGCCTTAACCCCATGGGATTTGTGATTGATTCTTGTCACTCTCCTGTTTTGAAACAAAGCCAAAGCCTTCACTGCCCCAGAGAAACGCTGGGCAATTTAACATTGCTCAGGCTCCCTTACTGCCCAGCACCAACCTGCAAGGCTCAAGCCAAGTCTCAGTCACCCTCACTTACTCTTCCTATGAAATCCCTGCCCATGCTCTGTGCTTTCATTCTGTCCACCAGAACGATATCTGCCCTTTGAGGGCTGCATCTAATTACCTCTAGGAAAACAATAAACCTTTTATCTGGACTCCTTCACTTATCCTATTAACTTTTACCAATTGAGACTATATCATATAACCAACCTATAGTTGCCTCTGTTCAAGTGAAAGCCACCAAGAGAAGCCAGCTCCACTCACTGCACACTAGTACAGTAGTTCTCAACCTGTGGGTCACGACCCCTTGTGGGATGCTGAATAACCCCTTAGGGGTCACCTAAGACCATCGGAAAACACGGAGATTTACAGCGCAATTCATAACAATTCATACAATTCATAAATGTATGAAGTACTACATTTATGAAGTAGCGATGAAAATAATGTTATGGTTGGGGCCACCACAGCCTGAGAAACCATGCTGAAGAGCCACACCATTCAGAAGGCCGAGAACCACTGCTCTTGCTCCTCAGTAACTGCCTGGCGCTCTTGGGTACTCATATGAACCTGAGTTTTGAATGCACGGCCATCATTTTGTGACAGGGCTCTCGGCTATCAAATTCTATTTAGAATTCTCCTTCTTAAGACAAGAGTGGTGGTGGAACCATCTGCTACTCCAGTACTCAGGATACAGAGACGGGCAATTGCGAGCTTGGAGCCAGCTTGAGCTCTGCAGTGCGCTCCCTGACATCCTGGGACACGTGGTGAGACAGTTCTTATAACAACTTTAAAACTCCCAGGCCATGTACACTTGGTTCACCTTTGCACGATACAACATGTTAGCTATGAAATTTCCTTTCCAGTGTGATCCTGGCTCTGCCCTTAGTTAGTTGTTCCTAATTCTTGCCCAACTGTCTAGTGTGGTTAGACTTTAGTAGTATCTCTCTCTCTCTCTCTCTCTCTCTCTCTCTCTCAGGCACACACACACACACACACACATGCACACATGCACACACACCCGGGTGCTCTGATTGGCTGTAGATAAGCAAAGCTCTAGTTGGTTTTCCTGGTGGATGCCTATGATATGGTCCTCATTTGGTGGCTTAGACTTGTATTCCAAGCACTCTAGAGATGAGAGCCGTCATTCCAGCACCACCTGGACAGACGGTGGACTGGCCAGGGTGGCCCACTCTGCTGCCTTACTCCTAAATGCTTCCCTAAAGAAAAGCAATCTGAACATCGCAATGGCTAGTGCAGCACGCACTCTAGCCAAGCGGCATCCCCTGGCGTGTCAGAGCCCTTCACAGTGTTTCCTATGTTGCGCTTCCACTCGGATGCACATAAGCTGAAAGAGCATGGGGAAAACAGCTAGTGCTTATCATTAACTTGAGGAGTCAACGTGGTCCATGCACACGTGGAACACTAGTCAACACACAGACAGGACAACCGACAGAGGCAGTGATGACATCGCTCACTGCAAATATGCCGAATGAGAGCGCAACCAGGCCTATGACGCAGTGGAGCACGTGTGGGCTGGTCCTGCTCCTGTAAAATGGGGGAAAGCACAAGTCAACAGGGCAGTAACAAAGCGAATCAGCAGCTGCTTAGGGATGCAGAGGCTGGCAGGGGCTGAAGGAAGGCAAAATGCTGTGAGGAAGTTTGGAGTGATGAATGCGCTCCCTATCATGACTTTGGTTGAGGATCTTTCGGATTGTCAAAGCTTGTTAACTTTCATACTCTAAAATATGCAATCTACTGCAGGCCAAACACTTCAATAAAGCTGGTTTTGAAGAGAATAGAAAAGGGACAAAAGTAAAGGAGGGCGAGAGAAAGGGGAGGCTGCCCAGTAATATATTTATACAATGCTGCTTTTAAAATTGGCTTAAGAGAAATAGAATGGCCAGTGTTCATAACATACCACCTCCAAATGACATTTTCCTGAAAATGCCAGTTTCCAGAAAGATGGGAATTGCATTTTTGAAGAAGCAGCCAGGTTGCAAGCAGATGATTAATTATCATGGAAAATCGCTCGTGTACCATGACAATTTCAAACTGTTTCCTACATCTAAAATAAAGTTCCCGTGTCTCTCTCAGAGAGACATTATAAAGCTTTAATTGATTTGTGCTGGAATAAAAAAAAAAAAAAGCAACAAAACTTTGGCTACCATCATGCAAAATTAATTGAATTAAGTATCAAAATATAAACATGCAACTGTTGTTTGGGTATTTGTTTTTCTTTACAAGTAAATATTAGAAGATGCCAGCTATTCCAACACATATTATACCAGAGAAGACAGTCACTCTCAGGTCTCACACTCCTCAAAACTGAACCACAGAATCTAGAAAATCAAAGGGTTTAAAGTATCTGATGACCTCTACTACTGAGTAACACTACAAACCCTATTGCTTCATCAGGGAGGGGTTTGAGTAGATTGAGCTGAGATCCAATCTGTAGGCTCGTCTGTCTAGTTTTATAGAAATGTAGGCTTTTGCCTCCTTTCGGGACTAACACAAGTATTAATTCAGCACACCGGTGATGCAGTAAGATACAGATGGCAGCTAGGGAAGGAAGCTCTATGGACTGAATGAAGCTGAGTCTTGTCCTGGGGTAACTGACCTGGTAAGGAGTCCAGTGACTCTCAGTGATTTCCGTAGTGGTCCACAGCAAGCCAAACACAGGACAGCATGGCTATCACACATTATTATTCATGACATCAGAAGTCAATTCAGTAAGCTGGCCTGCAAACCGTAGTAGCTCACATTTGAGAAGGACAGACAGCCAAACTACCCTATAACACTCCTATTCCAGCCAGAACGGCCACAGAAAAAAAAAGTATTCCTCCAAACAAGTGTTAACTTGTTAAGAGAGGTATATGTCCAGAAGGACCTCAGTGCTGCACAGCAGGTGGCTGCTAAGCCGTGTTCTGGATAAGAATGTTGTCTGGGACAAACATGGATGCCTGAGTTCATCAGTGCCACCTCTAAGAAGGGCTGCGATTGTGAAAGCCACATGGAGTAAGGTAGCAGACATGGTGACAATTTCAATTGAATGAGAATTTACTTCTTCCACTGTATTAGCAACATTTCAATTAGCATTAGATCCATGAAGTTAGTTGCACCTACGTAAGACAGAACAATACAAAAGATTCCTTCATAGGAGACAATGTTAGCTTTGGGCTAGAATAATGTGAGGCCAACGCAAGTATGTCAAGCAAGACTTCCTGAAATAGAGCCGCGACAGGAATACGCATGGTTACGAAGGACCCTGTCACTCTGAGAGGGAAGAGCATGGGCTTACAGCTTCTTCGCCTGGCTTTCAATAGGAACCACAGTTAAGGTGCCCTCATGCCCTTGTGCCCTCTGGAACCTCAAGAGCTGAACGTGTGTTTTCCATAAAATATTAAATCAAGAAAATTAAGACAGCACACTTGATGTGAAATAAAGTTCATATAGTCCTGTTTAAACACAGATTAGAATTTCTGTCAGAACAATGCCAGTGAAAAGTTGACATTCTAATTAATATAATTTACATCATAAAGCACTGAATATCTTTATCTTGCTTTTATGAAAATGTCCTCCCCCCAAAAATGGGAACAGTATTCTACAGGGAGTTGAGTGCTAAGGGCAGTATTTGAAAACTCGGCACAAGAGAGGCCCCTAGGGCCACTGGCTTCTCACACACCAGGCCATCCTTGATCATCCACAGGCCTCACTGCACACGACAACTGATTCTGAGGCTATTTTACCTGCAATTACAGAAAACATGCAGCAAAACCCAGCACTAAACAAACTACAATTCCTTCTTTCATGTCCCCCCTCTATCCGTCTCCACTGTGCCCAGGACTCTTCATGATGCTTACTTATCCCAGATTCTGAGCATGTAAGAGGGGCAAAAATCAGCCCCACAGTCGGCCACCCAAGGATTGGTGTTCATTGCTTTTGTCAATTTTATGCTATCGGTGAAAGGAATAAAGATGAGATCCCTAAAGCTTGAGCTTTCATTTCCTACGACAACGTGCTTTTTCGTCATGCTTTGTCACACTTCGCTGTGTGGTTCCCACCCCTTTGTAATTGATATTGGCCATTTGACGCATTCAGTACAAACCTCCTGAGGTCCGTCAAGTGTACCCTGCTCTAAAATTCCTGCGTTACACAGGCTCAAAGCATAGTCATCCAAGTGTTTTCTACGACTACTCCCTGGTTTTCCCTAAGCACGGGACCCGGTGTAATGACAGTTGAATTAATTATCTGCTGAAAAATCCACGTAGCAGCAGAAATGATGGAGATCATCATTTTAAATATTTTATTAAAACAGCCAAGTGTAGAACAGATTAAATAGACCTTCTTGATAATGAGAGGCTCATTAATTTTACAAGAATTCTAGAAAGCTTCAGAATGGTCATCAAATTTTTCTCTTTTATTCATTTATTTTTTTCAAAGAAGAAGAAAATCTTCAATCATCACTTTTGAGAACATGGGCCCAATAAGATTTTTCTAAGGTGTTTTAAAATAGAGGCCCTTCTGGAAAAAGCTTTGATATATGGAGGCCTTAGGTGTCATTTTTACTGCTTGAAACGCCTGCAAATGTTCAGCTTGCGGTTTAACCCCATTAAGGCTTGGATTCATTAGCATACAATGAATATCAGAAAGATCCCTGATAACTAAAATTGATATTGGACCTAAGCACATGAGCATCCCATTGACCCTCAGCAGACACAGCCCACATAACCTGATCTTGCCTACCAGGTGTGTCTCCAGGTACAGCCGAAGGCTGTCCGTCTCTGCTCTAGGTGGAGTCCAGTTCTCAGTGGTCTCCATGGCTTCATTTAGCCACTGAATGAACTCGTCCAGCTTGCTCACGAACCCCTGTGAGAGAAAAGAAACAAGGACACGGAGGAAAATTAGCTGATTGTTTTTAAAAGTCAATCCTAAAAATTCCAAACTTTGCCCTACTGTAACTCCTCCTACTGTTTTTTTTTGTTTTGTTTTGTTTTGTCTTTCCTGTTGGTTTATTTTGGTTTGTTTGTTTTATTGGCAACATTTTCACTGCTCTTGGCTCCAAATCCTTCCAAACAGGCTACAAACTCCACTCCTGGATTTCACTTAGGAACGCTTTCCCAGAGAACGTGTAGACAGTGAGGGGCACTGAATAAGTGACCTCAAAACGTCTCGAGTGTGTGACGACCATCCCTTGCCCACCCTCAAATCACACACTGGCTTGTATATATGCCACACACTGGTGGCATTTGTATAAAGATGGCCTTGCCATTTCAGAGTGCATGGAGCTGAGTTACTATAGCTGAACAAGGAAATTTATTTTAAATTTAAGGCATAGCTAAGACGCCTGGGTGAGTCCCAACAACAGCTCAAGGGTCTGTGGCTGAGCCTGTGGGTGCTCGGGAGGAGAGGAAGGCAGAAAAGAGAGGCCACAGAACAATGCAGATAGACACCTGACTGGCTGAGTATGTCTGGACGGAAAGAAATATTCTTGCCCAGGAAGCACAAATCACAATAATCTTGCGATTTTTCAAATAGCGGTTATAAAATTTTATTGACCATTTAAAAGAACACATCTGTAGAGACAGAAAATATTTTGAAAAAGTGAAAATCCAGCTATAAACTGAGCGTGATGTCTGCGCTCCATGTCTGGGCCAACAGCTCCACCTGGAGGTCTTGTGGGGCAAGGGCAGGCTGCCATGTTCATGCCACTTCTACTGACACTAAACCATTCTTTTTTCTTTTTTTTTTAACCTTTGATAAATTTTGATCAACATTTTAATGCCTTACTGGGGATAACTTAAGACAAAAGGGAGACCAATGTGAATAAATTCATTTTCTTTGTCATGCTTCTCAGAAGCTGAATTTTATCATTTAGTATATCCCCCCTTTTTAAGATTAGTATCTCTTAATTTGGGCAGTTTTCCCATCGTAGATTGTTAGATAAGTGAAAATGGAATAGGAGGTTAGAAAAGAGAAGAGCATACAAATAAAGCCCAGAGACAAACTCCTGTTTTAAGGGGAGAGACCAGAGGTGTTGCAGAGGTCCACAAGTCTACGAGAACGCTCTTGTCCTGAGTGGATCTCGGTCTGGCACGCGTGTAGTGATGTGCCCATGTAGTCAGGGCCTCGGGCTTTCCAGCTGACATATTTAACAGAGATGTGCATGCTACTTGTGTGAGCACAGCAGCGTGCGGTGGCACAAGTACTCTCATAATGGAATTTTGGTGGAAAAACCAGGAGACCCTTTGGTGTTATCTGTCACCTACAGATAGTGAAGATGACTGACAGCTGAGATGGAAATCCTAATTTTAGCACGCAGGTCAACTACCACTTACTGCTGACTTTGACTCGAGTTGTGTATAAATTGGTTTAGGTCAGGAAGCGAACTATTTGGAAACAACTAGTTGGATCCAGAAGACAAATAATTAAGTTTGTTATCTTAAATATAATCAATACTAGATGATTAATTATTCCCTCTCCCACCAGAAACAAGAAACAATGAAAGCACATGAGAATGTCCAGACCCCTCACCATACATGTTGTTAAAGAGTTTTAAACCATGTGTGTCCGATTTCTTAGCAGAGCCTTGGGTGCAGAGCTGGCTGAGATTTCTGAGACGCAATTAGCAAACCTAGGGGCCTCGGAATCTTCCTTGATGATATGTCTGTGTAACTCAGACAGTCAGCAAAACAGGGCTGACATTAAAGAAACGGGTCTCTTCTCTGAAAATGTCTTCTCAACTATAGCCTGTCCTCATCCGTTTTCATTTGCTGCCTGCTCTCCTGCCTCTTCTCTCAACAACGCCACATTTCATCCATCAAACCAGAAACAGGATGAGTTTCACTGCACAGATTTGAGACAAAAACTGGCTTGTGCTTTCTCTTAGGGAAGTATTGTCTTCCTGCCCCGCTGCTGTTTGGATGTGTGGCTCTAGGAATATGAGTGGAAACTACATAATGGAAATCCAGTTTCGCTGGAGTTCGTTCAGTTCTTGATGCGTTTGTCATCTGCTCTCCCCAGGGTTGAGGCTATGGACATGAGAGTACTTGTGTGAGCCACACCCCAGGACACGCCCTCTCATAAAAAGATGGAGAGACTGAAGCTCACAGATGCACTCACACTTAGACATATGTGCAGCCTATGCTCACTTTCAGTGGATCTGCTGACATCTTGGTGGTATGAATAAAGGAAAATGAGGCCAATAGGAATAACAACATGCTGAAATGGGATAAATCCAGAAAATACAACTATTTTGAAGTAGGGCTCAAACTATAGTAAAACAAAGACTGATCATTCATTCATTCATTCCTTCATTTAAATATTTAGCAAGATCCTACCATGTACAAAGATACTCTAGACAGCAATGGGGACAAAGGGATGAATATCATTTTTGTAAAAATATAAAGCAGAATGCAAACATGTCTAAACTCTGATATATTAGATCCAAGTGATTTCATAAGAAAAAGAAGTTTGTAATTCCTAGGCTTCCCCACCTGCACAGAAAGTCAGTTCGAGCCAAGCGGAGCATACAAAGGCAGGTTATTGGGAGTCGGCTCTCCAGCGGGTTCGTGGACCTCACAGGGGGAAGGTAATGAAGTCACACACTCAGGCTAAAGCAAGCGGGTTTCATAGAGCTCAGGAGAGAACTGTGACCAGTCAGCTAGGGCTGGAATTGTGCCCACACACGGTCAAAAGCTGAGTCCCGAGGCGGGCTCGTGGGTTGCTGGAAATGGGGAGTTTTCTCAAAGCAGGCCTGGTTTGAGGGAAGAAGCACAGACGAGGGGTCTTCTGGCTTGTGCGGGGGTGAGCAGGGCGAGCCAAATAGTAATAAATAAAGAGTGAGGGACATGCTCTGTTATACACAGAACTCTTGCCTGTACCCAGATCTGTTCCTTTCTGTGTTTAGTATTAACGTACGTGGGTGTGTTTCTCTAGTGTTCTGGATAACTGTAAAAGTCAGGTTCCCTCAGGCCCCACGCTGCCCTGTGCTGAGTGGAGAACACACTTCATTCACACTGAGCTCAAACAGCTGAATCATTTCAGTTCTCTGGCCTAAACTCCATCCAATGCCTCGGTCATTCTGGCCCTGTTTTCCTTATTGACCCTTGGTGGTCCTTCTGCCCAGGCACCAGGGCCCAGCCCTTGGGCTTCCTCTGCTTCTGTCCATATGGATCCCTCTCCATGCTCGTGTCTGATACGGTCTGTGAAGTCTCAGCTGGGGCCAAGACAGGCAGAAGAAAATGTTATGTCTTACCCTGGGAGGAAACAGTACTGCGGCCAGCCTGTTATCACTGGCCAGCAGGGCACCTCCACGCTCATTTGCATTTCAAAGTTCTGTCGCGAGCTCTACCTTTATTTTGTTTTCACTATACTTTTTAAATTTCTTCCTCTTCCTCCTCCTCCTCCTCTTCCTGCTCTTCCTCCTCCTGCTCTTCCTCTTCCTGCTCCTCCTCCTGATCCTCCTTCTGCTCCTCCTCTTCCTGCTCCTCCTCCTCCTCTTTTGGACAGAGTTTTTCTGTGTGGCCTTGGCTGTCCTGAACTCACTTTGTACATCAGCCTGGTCCCAAACACACACAGAGATCCGCCTGCCTCTGCTTCCCTGAGTAACTTTCAATTTTTCTAAATTGTCTATTTCTTTAAAGACTAAGAAATAAAATGAAATCTCACACCAGTTTGTAAAATAACAATAGTAATAATAATAATAATGTTTGCTAGAATTCTAACTTCAAAAATTTAAAGATGGCATTGAAGACACAGGCTCATTATTTCTTGTATTCTCCTATCTCTCTCTTTTACAACTACGTTTATCTCGCTAATATAAACTAACAGGTTGACTACCCCTCCCTCTGGCAAAGGTATCTGAGTATCCACAGTAAACAGGGGGACTTTCCAAACACCAGATAAGGGGCCAAGACACAGCCATGCATTGGGGGATAAAAGGAGTGGTGCAGACTTTGGGAGCTAAAAGCATAAGGGCATCTGTTTTTAAAGTCTCTATTACTTTAAGATAAAAGTTGGAAGCCGTTCCTCTTAAGAGCAGGGAAATCTGCAGCAGGGAGTCAAGGCTGTGTTGTCATCACAGCTCTGGGAGAAGGCACTGTCTATGCTCACTTTATGGATGAGGAATATATGTGACAGAAGAAGGGTGATTGGCCCGGTGACACAGGCAAGATTTGAACCCAGATCTTACTGTGAAGTCTGTTTTCCCATGGTGCCACACTGCCCAAAGGAAGAGTGATTCCAGATTCAGAGTGAGCAGCTAGCGTGCACCTCCTCCAAACCCCACAGCACAGACACTGAGGTACAAGCTCCCTGGCTCCTCAGTCCTTCTCCTTTCACACTGATTTCTTTCTGTTCCCCTTCTCTTGAGAGGAGCTCAACAAGAGATGACTACAGAGCTCACTCCTAACATACTGAGGGAAAGTTAAAGGAAGTTAAATGCCTGCCCAAGACCATTCGACCTGTGCCTTAACCACAGAGGAATGACTCAGTTTACACACTGAGAAGTGGTTACCAGAGGACAGTGAGCCACTTCCTGAACGGCCAGTTTCCCTGTGGTGTTTGCCATCTGATCTGTGTCTCTGTAGAGACGGCAGATGCGAGGTCTGAGCCAAGGTGCTTGAATCAGCTGCCTTGAAGAGCCCTGGAAGTGTGAACTGCTTAACTGTGTGGAGGGAAAATTACCAGCTTCTGTTGCTGGCTATTTTAAATCATTAAACCCTAATTGCCACTTTCTGGGTATTCCACAGTTAAGGGCTCAGTGAATTCATCCAGATAATCCTCGCTAAAATAATAAGTACCCCTCACTATCAGCTAGGGTCTGTTGTAAGCATCTTATATAAAATAAACCACTTAGGACATGTAAT